GACTTATTCGCGCAACACTGCCCCCTCCTAAGACATGCTCGTCCCGAGCATTATCGGACCCATAATAACGCGCCAGGCGATCCACATGGACGATCTTAGGAGTCCCTCTTGCGCCTTTCTGTATCCGGTAGGTTACATCGTTGATCCTGGTTATAATCCGGTACGGGCCGTCCCATTTAGCTTGAAGCTTAGGAGATTTCCCTTTGCTGCGGACTGGATTGTGCAACCACACTAGTGGACCTTCGTCGAACCCTTTGTTGTTCATTTTGCGGTCATACCGGGTTTTCATCTTCTCAGACATTTGCTGGCCCGATTGTCTGACGTGCTCATAAATGTCATTCATTTTGTTCCGCAAGTCACTTGCATAATCGGTTATACTGCGTGGGGCCATCAGGTGGTATCCCGGTGATCAGGTCCGCAGGCAGCCGTAATTCTCTTCCAAAGTTTGCGAAAGCTGGTGTCACTGCTGTACTTTCGTGAACTTCGATATGACAACAAAAACGGTTGTATGTGCTTGTCCCAATCTCGTTGCCCGATTGTCTACAACTTTCGCTAGGTACCTTCCAATGTCTGATTAAATCGTTCTACCATTCCATCAGATTGCGGGTGATAAGAAGTCGTTCTTGTTTTATGAGTACCCATAACTCGACAAGTTTCCTGGGATATTTGAGACTCAAAATTCCTTCCTTGATCGCTGTGAATCTCTAAAGGTACTCTAAAACGACAGAAGACTTCATGAACTAGTTTATCTGCAACTGTTGAAGCTTCTTGATTTGGAATGGCGAAGACTTCTGGCCACTTAGTGAAGTAATCCATCACAACCATGAAATACTTGTTACCGCTTTCACTCTCCGGAAACGGCCCCGCCACGTCAATGGCTATTCTCTCCCATGGTGCACCAACATTGTACAACTTCAATGCACCTCTACTACGAGTCTGAGGTCCCTTTACAGCCGCACAACTTGTACATTTGCGACACCAGTCCTCGACATCGTTTCGACAGTGGACCCAATAAAACCGTTCTCGGATCTTCAGTAGAGTTCGTTTAACTCCCAGATGGCCTCCTGAACAATCATTATGGTACAGCTGTAGGACATCCGGTACTTTAGCTTTAGGGACAACCATTTGCAAATGACAGCTGTCTCCCCGAACATTTTCCCATTTACGACACAGAACTTCATCCTGAAGCAGCAAGCTGTCCCACTGGGCCCAATAGCTTTTAGTGGTCGAACTCATCGCTGAGACGTCGCTCCACTTGGGCTTGGGAGCACTGGCCTTTATCCATTCCAGAATCGGCTTGATGTCCAGATCTTACTGCTGTGCATGTAGTAAGCTGTCCCTCCACTCGTTGCTGAGGTGGTCTGTCCTGAGCATCCTCACGGATACCTCTTCCTTACTCTCTTGCCTAGTACAATGGTTGCAATCTTCAGGACAAGGTCTTCTTGACAATTCATCTGCGTTGCAATGAGATTTTCCACTGCGTTATTCGATCTCAAAGTCGTATTCCTGAGTAGTTAATAGCTTCTTCTGGATTTTTAAACTGCAAAAGCCATTTTAGTGCAGCATGGTCAGTTCGTAAGTGAAATTTTCGTCCCAGAAGATATTTGCTAAAATGCTGCAACGACTTTATCACAGCTAGCAATTCGCGTCTTGTGACACAATAGTTCCTTTCCGGTTTTGACAACGACTTGCTGAAGTACGCTATCACGACCTCTTGGTCACCCTTCCGTTGAGACAACACACCGCCAAGTCCTATATTACTTGCGTCTGTGTCAACTATAAATTCTTTGCTTGCATCAGGGTATCCCAAAATAGGTGTTTTGCACGGACGGTCCTTGAGCTCCTGGAATGCGATATTGCAACTTTCATCCCAGCAGAAATGTCGCTTCTCCTCGGTTAGCTTGTGCAGAGGTTTGGCTATATCTGCAAAGTTCTTCACAAATCGACGGTAATAGGAGCACAATCCCAAAAATGCTCTAACCTGCGTCTTGTCTTTTGGAACCGGCCAATCCTTGACAGCGGCGATTTTCTCTGGATCCGTGCGGATACCTTCCGATACTACATACCCCAAAAAGTTAACTTGCCGTTTGAATAGTGAACATTTATTCGGACTCAACTTGAGGTTGTCACTCTGAATCTTCATGAGCACGCGTTCCAGGTTTTGAAGGTGTTCCTCAAACGTCCGGCCTACGATGATGATGTCATCCAAGTAGACCAGACAGGCATCGCCAATTAGCCCGGTAAGTACAAGTTCCATCAGCCTTTCAAACGTTGCTGGAGCATTGCACACACAAACGGAATTACTTTAAATTGCCACAGACCCTTTCCCGTCGAGAACGCAGTTTTCTCCTTGTCCTTAGGGTCAATTTCAACTTGCCAGTAGCCACTTTTTAGATCCAGCGTGCTAAACCACTTTACTCCTGTAAGCATGTCCAGCGTGTCATCAATTCTTGGCAAGGGATAGCTGTCCTTCTTCGTAACGTCGTTCAGACGGCGGTAGTCAACACAAAACCGCATGCTGCCATCCTTCTTCTTTACCAGCACCACGGGTGAACACCATGGACTAGAGGAAGGTTCAATAACACCATCCTTTACCATTCCTTCAATCATGGTTTCCACTTCCTTTTCACGTGCTACCGGCAATCTTCTTGGCCGCTGACGGATAGGCAATTCTTCTCCTGTGTTTATTTTGTGTTGAACTAAGCCAGTCTTTCCTATGTCAGTATCGTTTGATGAGAATACATCGGCGTACTTGAGTAACAACTTCTCCGCCTTGACCATTTCGTTCGGGGAGAGAACGCTGCGACAGTCTTCCAAAAGTGTGGTCACTCTCGTTTGTGCATCCTTGCTGGGGGTCTCACTCGATAGATATTGGCATCGACGTAACCAATCCACTTCCTCACAAGTACCAACCAGCGTGCCTCTTTCTACAATCTGTTCCCGGTCACAAAGGTTCAGCACACGTACTCCTGAGATGTCAGTGGTCCTGACCAAGGTTCGAGCTACTTTCAATGGAATGTCATTGTCCCTTTCCACAAGTACACAACGGTGGGCTTGCCCAGCGTTTCGAGGAAGACTAACCGGAACAATCGTTTCCGATCTCGGCGGAAGAACAATCTTCTTAATGCTGTACACGTTCCCTGGTAACGCACCTTCCATAAAAAGTTCCTCCTGTCCACATTTCAAAACACCTTGCTTAACGTCGATCTCACAACAATTATTCCTCATAAAGTCTAGGCCTAGGATGCAGTCGTCCATTATATCAGCCACGATGACATTATGCAGGTAGATCACGTTGCCTAGCTTCAACTCCATCTCCTTCTCTCCACGGACGGGTATACGCTGACCGGTGGCTGTAACTAAATTAATGCGTTCTCGGTTGTATGCGGAGTCCCCAAGGAACTGACTTATAAGTTGGGAACTAACAACCGTACGAGAGGCTCCAGTGTCTATGGTCAGTTTACACGGCATTCCGTTGACCTCGCCCTTGATGATTAGACTGTTCCCATCATGGGTTTGTGAGATCGAGATCCTTGGGGCTCTTTTAACATCAGCCAGCACCCGCCCCGCAGTTCTGGCTTTTACTCGTTTCCCTGCTGCTGCTGGGCGGTGCTGTTAGCCGCACTACCCTCCTGAGATCGTTCACCTTCCCTTTCTAGGGTTCGCTTAGGGCAGCTGGATCGGCGGGGGGGGGGTTTGGTGGTGGGGGGGGGGGGCCTTGTGTTCTGTGGAAGAGGGGGGGGGGGGGGGTTGTGGCCCCTTTCTCGACAGCCATAGCACCTAGGGCTGTATCCTTTGTTGCGGTCGCGAACTGTAGCTGCTGCAACCTCCCTGACGCAATGGGAACGATGATCCTGCCGCACGGCTTCCACCTCCAGTGCATGGGCCAAGGCGTCCTTAAGCGTCTCGTGGTGCCCGAGCCTCACAGCAGCTCTGACTTCCAGGTCGCGGATGCCGTCGATGAATGTCTGCACCAGGTTCCCTTCAATGAGCGCAGGTACAGACCGGTATGCTTTTCGCACCAGCTTCTCTACCTCTAGAGCCCACTGCTGCAGGTTTTCGTTGATGCGCTGCACGCGATCTTTAAGCTGCGCACGAAAGACGTGTTCCAGGTGAGCGTTGCCATATCTCGCCTCCAATGCCTCAAGGAGTTGCTCGTAAGTCACTTCCTCACCGAGAGCTTCCAGAATTGTTAAGGCCTGGTCGCGCAGGCCTAGTGTGAGAGCAGTCATGGCCTGACTTTTATTCCAGCCGTTCGCCTTCATAACAGCCTCGAACTGGATTTTGTAGGCTGACCAGGAAGAAGTCCCGTCGAAAGGTGGCACCTTGACCCACGTAGCGAAGGTGTAGTAGCTACTACGGGAGCTGCAGTTCCATCCCCAAGTTTGAGTTCATCCAGCGTTTTCTTAACTTGGTTGATTTGGGTCTCAGCTTCCGACAGGCGGTTATCATGTTGAGCAACCTTATCCTTCACCTATTAAATATCCCGTATCTCTTTCCCGAAGGTAGCGTGAAGGTCCTTCATGAGAAGCATCTGTTCTTCCTGGCCGCCCCGCAGCTGCTCTTCCAACCGACGAATCTGTTCCTCCTGTCGGCGAGCCTGTTCCTCCTGTCGGCGAGCCTGTTCCTCCTGCTGCTCTTTCAACAGACGGACCTGTTCCTCTCGTCCGCGCTGCAGCTGCTCCTGTAGCATCGCCATCAGAGCACCTAAGTTCGTTCCGAGACTAGATGGCGCTGTCGGTTGAAAGATTAGTTATGTCGTTTTCTGGAAAGCTCCACTCGCTCTCGTCCCTGACACTAGATGGCGCTAGTGCCGGATACATAACGTCGACTTATTCGCGCAACATTTTAAATAAGTTGACGATAAATAAATTGATATAAAATTTATAGATGCAAACATTTAATTTTAACACTATTAAAAGTTAATTGAGTTCTGTGTATAAATATATTAAGTACATATATATGTAATAAACTAAGCGAAATAGTGTGTGTTAACCACAATGTCGAAGCAAGAAGAGAACCAATCAATACCAAGAGAACCAAATAATACCGATTTCATGCCGAACGAGACGTGGAGAATCGTGAAAAACGTAGTCATTATCAGCTTAGCTTTTATGGTTCATTTCACAGCGTATAGTGTGAGTATTTTCTTACTATTTCATTATCATCATCATCATCATCATCATTACAGCCCTTCACAAGTCCACTGCTGAACATAGGCCTCCCCCAAGGTATGCCACAAAGCACGGCCTGAGCCACCTGCATCAATCGACTTCCCGCATGTCTTACCAGGTCGTCACTCCATCTAGTGGGATGTCGCCCTACACTTCGCCTACCGATTCGAGAACTTTTTTACCCAACGGTTGTCGGTTCTTCGAGCTATATGGCTGGCATAGCCTTCTCCATAGCTCACTGAGCGACTTTGAGCGTCATCATACGGCCAGCAGTGAAGGACCACTTCTCAGTTCCATAGGTCATCACTGGCAACACGCACTGGTTGTACAGTTTCGTTTTCTGGTTTTGAGATATGGTATACCTGACGAGAAGATGTAACGTAATTTCCCGAACACTGCACAGCCGAGTTGAATCCATCGATTGACATCTCGGCCGAAGTTGGACTTACGTAGTCGGACTATTTGTCCCAGGTAAACGTACTTGTCAACAACTTCGAGCTTAGTGCTCCCAACAACTACCGGTATGACATGGATATTACACATGATCTTTGTTTTGTTCATGTTCATCTTAAGAGGGGATTATCCGTTAGGAGGCACTATTGAGGTCATTGAGCATAGCGCTTAGGTCCTCCAGTGATTCTGCCATAAGGACTATATCGTCGGCAAATCGAAGGTGAGTGATGTACTCGCCATTGATGTTAATACCGTATCCTTTCCAATCCAGTAGCTTGAAAACGTCTTCCAATCCGCTGCATTGGAAGACGTTTTCAAGCTACTGGACTGAGACTGAAGCTCTGAAGAGTTTCAGGGATATAAACGTCACCCTGTCTTACACCTCTCTGCAGTTGGATTGGTTTCGTACACTGGTTCTCTACTCGGACAGCCATCGTAGCCCTACAGTACAAATAGTTCAGCACTTCGAAATACCGACAGTCAACTTGATACCGCTGAAGAGACTGTAGCACCGCTCAAATTTCGACGAAATCATAGGCTTTCTCATAGAACACATACGCCAGGCAAAGTGGCAGTTTGTACTCTTCGGACTTCTGTACAATTTGCCGAAGGGTATGTATGTGGTCTATGGTGCTAAAGCCTTTTCGGAAACCGGCTCGTTCGGGAGGCTGCAAGTCGTTGACTCTGCGTGCGAGACGATTCCTAATGACTCTCAAAAAAAGCACGTACGAGTAGACGCGGCTCAGAAGGGATATCGGTCTGTAGTTCTTTGAGAGAGCGTTGTCACCTTTCTTGAAGAAAAGACCACCGCACGTCTGCTCCACGCCTCGGGAGTAGTGTCACCATGGAGGACGGAAGAACTTTTGAAGGACTTCAAGTACAGGTTTTCCACCCGCTTTCAGAAGCTCCGCTGTAATTCCATTCTCGCTCGGGGACTTGACGTTTTCAAGATGCTGGAGAGCCATTCTAATTTCGCTCAGACTGACGTCCGTCGGTCTTCAGCTTTGATAGTTGGCTCTTTCTGGCAGACAGGTATCTGGCAAAGACTTTGGAGCCCTGGTTCCACTCAATCGCTTCTTCAATACGAGCTGTATTAAAGTTGTGTATTTCCCGCCGCATTGATTTAAAGATTTGTCTGTTCAATTATCTGTATTCTATTAAATCTACTGACGACTGCAGCTTCATCTCATCAGTGAGATCGAAGCGTTTTTGTGTTCTTCTGCGACAGGTCACACAGAACTGAGCTTCGACCGCATGGAAAGTTTCCACAAACATTGTCATTTATATCGTCCACTTCATTGCAATTTTTTAGGTACTGAAAACTATTTTGTAACTCGACCTGAAAGTTTTCGGGGTTTTGGATTAGAGCACGAGGGGGACGAAGCGTTGACTTTATTAGACCTTAGATAAATTTAGACATCTCTAACTTCAAATTTAGGTTCAGTGTGTTCCTCTCATCATTCGGTGATCGCTGCCAGTTTTCACCTTTGCGACCACTGAAACATCCATGATCAGTTGTCATAATGGAGTCAATCTTATTTTTGGTTGAACCGTCAGGGCTCGATCAGGTCCACTTTCTGTGAGGCCGGTTTTAGAAGAAAAAGTTCATCCGAAAGAGTTCCTCTTTCTCCATGAAATTAGCCTGCTGCTGACCTGACAGCAGCTGCTGAGTTTCGTTGCCCTATTCCGAATTCCCCTACTTTCAGCTCACCGTTCTCTCTTGAGCCTAGTTTTGCGTTTAAGTATCCCTTCAATACCGTATAGTAAGTAGTAGTAAGTACCGTGGGTTTTGGAGGAAAACATGGCTCTAGAAATATCCTTATACGTATCTTCCACCTCCTCATCGAAATTTGTCGAGGTTGGTGCGTAAGCCTGGGGACATGTCTTGGGAAAAATGGTCGCCCTCCCGGTGATAGAACAAGTTGCCGGATTTGAGGATCACCGTGTCCTTCCCCTCTCTTCGGACCTTGGATAATCCTATAATATTCCAGCGCAACTTGTCTATCTTTTCTTTCAGCTCCAGGATCTTCTCATAAGTCAGGGTGCGTGCATTGTATGTTGCTATGTCGAGTCGTCTTAGGTGGCAACCGAACCTTCAACAGAGATTCGTTGAACAGAACCTCCTACCCCGCTGTTACCATGGTTGCCACCATTGCCAGGAATAGCGGGACTACCGGGGCCTGGCAGCCGTTTCTTTGTGTCGTTGCTTATGTGGGTATATTACCATAGTTGTCCCGCTTGGCGAGCGGTTTGGCATCCGCAGTTTTTATTGCTGTTAACTGTTATCAGAAAGATGCTTCTGCCCATTTTCTGCTTCAGTTTCCCTCTGTCGCTGCTTACAATACTCATTGGAACATATAGTGTAGTGGGTATCCTTACCCGCCACTACACGGGGAAATTGTCATTCCTAATTAAACCAAATTCGAAACTTAATATTTCCACAATTATTTCTTCTGCGGCAGCAAAGCGCTTCTTTGTGTTGTTGCTCATGGGGAATATATTGTCATAGTTGTCACACTTGGCGACCGGTTTGGCATCTGCAGTTTTTTATTGCTATTTGCTGTTATCAGAAAGATGCTCTTGCCCATTTTCTGCCTCAGTGTCCCTCTGTCGCCTCTTACGACACTCATTGGAACATATGGTGTAGTGGGTATCCTTACCCGCCACTACACGGGGAAATTGTCATTCCTAATTAAACCAAATTTTAAACTTAATATTTCCACAATTATTTTTTCTGCGGCATAACACCAGCTAGTATTGAATAAAAGTTTTAAAAAATAAAAAAAATATATTGATATTTTAATGAGGGCTAATAATCTACTGCTCACCAGATGTCGCTAGTTTACACTAAGGCGAAGTTTTTTGTGACATAATGTCATTTAATTGAGAAGTTTGTTTTAAATAAAAGTTTAACAGTTTCTAGAGTATTATATTAATACTCAAAACAATGTCTCGGTGGTTTGCTCCTTTATTTTTTATAAATTTTTAACTTTTTTTAATTTTTCTACATTTATGAGTATCTGTGGTTTGACTTATTTATTTTTAATTTAATTAATATAAAACAAACTAATAGTACAAAAAGAAACATTAGCCTTGCATTTTCCGAACAATTTAACTTACCCGCTAATCTGTCAAATATTAAACCTCATTTCTAAGTGGCGCCTCCCTGGTGGTAGAAAAAGTCGTGGATGCTGTCATCATAAAATTTTCTAAGTGGAATTATTAATTTAAATTCCAAATTCAAATTTTTTTTATGTAGGGATGTGACAATTTTTAGTTCTACAAAAATTATGGGCATATTATACCATTGAGCTATTATGTACTACGTGCTAGAGGCGACACTGCAATCAGCTACTCTGTTCCACTCAACTGCGGTGCATACACCGCACTTTAATCAGTCACTCGCTAGGCGCTTGTAGAGTTGTCACGTGTTGTGTTGATTTAAAAAAATCTCTTGATAAAAATATGTCGTCATGTGTACTTAGATATTGCACAAATAATTCAAGAAATGTCGGTAAAAACCAAGGAGTTACTTTTCATCGGTTAATAAGATATCTAATCAATAAAAAAGTATTATAGATTAATAATAAAACAAATTATCCCTAAGACGCCATCTCGTGTCGTGGAATATAGATTATGAAATTAATATGTTCAGATGCGACATTTCTGTAGGTACTTAAGTATAGGACGAATATATTATAAACATTTTTTTTGTAGAAACATATATAAGTTATTATAATTAAGCAAAATTTTTCATGTTTAAATTTGCTTATTGTTCTTTTATTTTATTTTAGGTTTCCACACAAAATGGTATAAATTCGTCAATTTTTAAATCTCACGTGCCCGACATTTATGAACGACTCTTATTCTAATTTAAATAAATATATTTGTAATTTAAGTGTTATGTTAATAAGTTTTGTTAAACATACATTTAGTATGTTTTTTTTTTATATTTGACATAGATACCTTTTAAAATATTCAGATAAAAATATCACTAAAATGTAATTGTAATATAATATTATGTAATATTATATTAAATAAGCAAATATTACAAAATTTAAATATTATTCTCGATATAATTTACCTATTTAACAATACAATTACTATTACCTACGTATTATCCTACCTATGTTTATTCTATGATAAAAAAAACCAACCGCGCGAACACAGAGTAGCGCACATTTTTTGTTTGAGATAGCTGTTCTAGTACGTAAGTACATATTACTTCAATGTATTATACTGAGATATTCGATGTACCAGTGTCATAGTTAAGCACGTGCTGGTAACGGGGGCGATCACGCGTGTTTACAAGCTGCAGACTTCCCGGAGCGTCAATTCTTTTCACATCAGATTTGTGTTTTTTTACATGGCTTTTAATAATTCTTTTAGTTTTTCCCATGTTAGTGAGACTATATTCACAATCAAGTTCTTACAAACCTGCATCTTAAACAGGGATATTACACTTAACTGATGGTAAAATCTGACTAATCTTCTTCTTCGGTGGCTTGATGAATGTTTAAATGGAAGCTCGCTTCAAGATGTAGCCAATCTTATCAGTGATACCTCAGACATATGGTAGTATAGCGACACACACTAGACTGCCGCTTCATGTTCACTGTCAACCGCGGTACTGGATAACGCTTTAACATTTATAACCTTTTTTATTTATTTTTTTTTTAATTTGTTCTCTGTCAGTATATTTTATCATTGATTTTTTCAGGGTGTAGCAAATTTACAAAGCTCTATCAATGCAGAAGCTGGTTTGGGTACAGCCTCCTTGGCCGCAGTATATGCGGGATTGATTTTCTCAAGTATTTTTCTGACCACTATCGTTATCAAGTAAGTAAATAACATGCAAAATTTTATCATAATACATATCGAAATGATTAAATAATAGAGTAGGAATATCTGAAAAATATATAAAAATTGTGATTCAAACATATCACACAACAGTTTTCACATTCCTATAGGTTTTTTTTATCGGAGTAACGAGGACAAATGAGCACACAACCTACCTAATGATAACTGGTTGTTGTGGCCCATAGTATCCTATATCTATAATATCATCGATTAAGAATCAAAAGACAAATGCGTTGTCAACCTAGAGGACTAAGATGAATGAAACATAGCATATGCTGCTATTTCACTCAGGTATTCCGTAAGAATACGGTCTTTCCCAATTGTGCGACCCTTTCGTGCTACAGCCAATAATATATTTTCTCCATTTAGTTTTACATCTGCAACACTGTTCACCTTACTTTGTACGAGTATGATACTACAATAATCTGTAGAGCCTTGAACTTTCGGTTTTTGTAAGTATTTTAATTTATCAATAAGAATCCAGTTTTTCTACTACGATGTAATATTGGAGAAAAAAAATATGTTGTGTTAATATTAGAAGTGATCGGCGTGTCCTCTTGTTCTTTATAGATGCCGGTAGCAAATGTTTTTATAGCGTTGTGTCTAGATCCAACATTTTAATAGGTCATGTATTAACCAGTAAGTTTGTTAACGACGCTATAGTAATACCTAGCGTTCAATTTTGTCCCATAAGAGTTGCAATAAGGTCCCCGTCTCGTAAGAGTAATAATAATATGCTCCAGACTGAATTACTATCATAGCGGTTATTCTTAACGGAGACTAGCCATCTGCGCAAGACAGGATTATAGTGTAAAAATGTGTGCATAAACTCAGTTGCATTTTCCCTCACTCTAATAGTGTCAAAGTCCGGTTCGACGGCAATTTGACACGACCGTAGAGAGAACAGGCGTAGGACCAACGGCTTTACCTGCTGTTCAGTGTACTGAGTTAAAACACTAGCAACTTCCCAATTCCAGGCTACTACTGAAAATTACTTGTCAGAGAAACCTAATAACAAATTTTTGGCTCGACGCGGAATTCGAACCGGGGCCATATACTCAACAGTCAAAAATATCTATGACCTGTGAAATATGTAAGATACATATTTCAGTTTATGTGAAATATTCAAACAGGTGAACTAGAAGTAGTGTCAAAAATAACTAATAATGTGATAGTCGATCCACTTACTAAGAGCAATATAGCATAGCCTCCTTACATTATTAAAGTTATTGTTGAATAAAAACAAGGAATTTATTATTAAAACAAGGATAGTTCATCAGCGAAATTTAGAGAGCTGAAAGATGAAAAATCGTCAAAAAGTTTATGGTTTTCGTGTGCTATTGCAATTATCTTTGATTATTGCGTCAATTTAGCTTTCTTTTGATTTTTTTTTTTTGTTTTATCTCTCTTTAATTGTATTTTTTCATAAAATTGAAGAGACAATGCAACTTACAATCCAGATAATTAGTGACAACTGCGGTGTCGGGGGTGGGGGGGGGGGGGGGGGGGGGGGGGCTGGGGGGTGTGGTGGGGCCAGGGTGGGGGGTGGGTGGGGGGGGGGGCTTTCTAACAACATCTGCAGAAAACTTCAAACAAAGAACGCTACAGATCCGTTGTTATCTCTAAAGATTGGGATGGGATTCCTCACAGGCTATTACCTAGGCTGCACTAAAAGTAGCGGGAATGGAATATTTCCACTGTTCGTGTCATATTAAAATCTTTTTAATTGAAAACTCCTTGGTTTTAAAAATCGAATACCATTTATTCATTTAAAAAAAGATTCTCGGTCTTGTCACAAGGTTTTGTCAAACTTGTTTAGTCGTTGAGAAAATGGAATTAACTCGAGAAAATTCAAGAGTGTGTTGACCGGATGATTTCTGCATTTGGTAATGAAGCCCCATCTACCAATTTATCACTGGTTTGCTGAATTTCAACGTGGACGTGTCAAGCTCAGTGATGATCCCCGTCAAGGTCGTCCAAAAACTGCAGTCACCCAAGAAAACCTTGATGCTGTGCGTAAGCTGATGGAGGAAGATCGATATGTGACATACCGCGAAATGTAGGCAACTTTAGACATTGGCATGAGTCAAATACAAATAATGTTGTATGAACAATTAGGTGTAAAAAAGTTGTTCCAGTTCCCGATGGATACCGCATTCGCTCTGTGAAGACCAAAAAGCGGCTCGCGTTACTCGGTGCGTCATAACTCTCGGAAGATTCCACGCAGGTTCCTCAAATGCTGTATACAACATCATATCAGGTGACGAATCCTGTATATACGCGTACGAACGCGAAACAAAAAAACAGTCACGAGTTTGGATGTTCGAAAATGAGTTAAAGCCAACAAAAATTGTTCGTTCACGGAGTGTTACAAAAAAAATGGTAGCCACGTTTGTCCCCAAAACCGGCCATGTTACGACTATTCCTCTTGAGGGACAAAGAACGGTTAATGCAGAATGGTATGCTAGCATTTGTTTGCCACAGGTCGTTTCTGAACTCCGTAAAGAGAACTGCAACCGCCGCATCATCCTCCATCACGACAATGCGAGTTCTCACACCGCACACAGAACAAAAGAGTTTTTAGAGCAAGAAAACATAGAATTATTAGACCATCCGCCGTACAGCCCCGACCTAAGCCCTAATGATTTCTGTACTTTCCCTAAAATAAAGAATAAATTGCGTGGACAGAGATTTTCATCACCTGAAGAAGCTGTGGACGCCTACAAAACGGCCATTTTGGAGACCCCAACTTCCGAACGGAACGGTTGCTTCAATGATTGGTTCCATCGTATGGAAAAATGTGTCAAATTTCGCGGACAATACTTCGAAAAGCAATAAATAGATTTTTAAATAGTAATTTTGTGTCACTTCCTTGATTCCCGAAATTTTCTACGTTACTCTGGCTCTCTACACCTTTTAGACTGTAAGCACCGTCAGACACTGCAGGTAGAAAAGTAATACTACCACTTACCTTCCCAGTAAGGTTGACATTTAAAGAACATCAAATTCTCTCAATGTCTCAAAAATACAAACGAATATACATAATAAAGCAAAATTTTTAGATGGTTGGGCACAAAATGGGCGATGGTATTGTCATTATTGTCTTACATGCCATACATCGCTGCACAGCTGCTGCCACGCTTTTGGACCTTGATCCCCGCTGGCCTCATTCTAGGCCTCGGTGGGGGTCCACTGTGGTGCTCCAAATGTACTTATTTGTCCGTGGTAAGAAGCTTTATTTCAATTTTATATTAATTTTTTACTTTGATAATGTACGCTTGTGTGTGAAAATCCCAAACAAATTACCAATCATTTAAAATATTTTTATGAGATTTTAAATTATATGATAACCTTTAAAAAGAAATACAGGCCACAGCAATCATTTATGACCTCATCAAAAAACAAGTAGGTTCTATATTCGACATATATGCTTTTAAGTATGTTCATAGATTAATCGGAATATTGATTTTATTAAAATTGGTACGAATTACTGTGCAGATTCTACATCACCTAAGGATGCCTTGTATAGAGTGCGGAAAGGAATACGGATGGGATGGGAGAATGTACCGGCTAATTAGGTACTAATTAACAGAACAAAAAATGCGAGGGTATTCGTTTTCCGCGGAACCATTCCCCTCGACTTGAAGGGTTCCCTTCAACTAACTAAAGCTACTACTAAGACCTAATTTAAACTACCCCAGGCTTCAAACTACAAACAACACATACGCACGCACACACGCACACACACACACACACACACGCACACACACACACGCAAACACGAACCCACGCACGAACACACGCACACACACATGCACACACACGCACACACATGCATGCACACACATGCACACATATTATAACAGTATCGCTCGGTGACAGCGACAACTCGGATACAGACTCGTACGTACGTACGAAACAACACGATTACTTTTATTGTACGTATAGGACCGCGTGGATTTATACTTTGACAGAGGGGAACACCTGCATATGGCTACTAATCCAAATCGCCGCGCTAAGCCGGTGGCCCGTGTTGCTTTATGTGTAAAACATAATTAAATAATGAACAATAACATATGAAATCATGTTCAAGTAAAGGATTTGTTTATGAAAGAATAGTGTTACGAACTTATGGTTCGTGACAATAAAAACTGCCGATTGAATTACCAAAATTGACACTTTAATTACTGAACACCAATTAAAACTTAAATCACACAAATAATTATTCACACTTAACACTATAGTTCACTTTATTACACTCCGAAATTTGTTTTTTGGTTACTTCGTTGTGTAAAACAGGATTTTTTTCACACAGAACTTCCTCCAGGTTTGTGTAGGCGTTTTACATAAACGAATTGCATATATACAAGTATCTAGATTAACAAGTTTTTCCTTGTGGGATTCGAACCCGAACCCCTGCGGGCCGCCGCAACCCGCAACGCAACGAATAACCATAGTCACAAGCTGTAACTGTATTTAAACCTTCACAACAGCAATTACCCGTTTGCTATTTACCGTGCACATTCATTACTTAAAATCTTTATATTTTAGGTTGCAGAGGCTCATAGCAAGATTTCTAATATTCCAGCCGAAGCCTTGCTCAGTCGTTTCCTTGGAGTGTTTTTTATGATCTTCCAGCTGAATCAAGTATGGGGAAACCTCATTTCTTCTCTGGGTAAGTTTGTCTATCTAATATTCACCAATCCATTTTATGCCTGTTGTCATAGAAAATGACTAAAAACTAAAATTAAGGATTAGTACAGTTAAGAATAATCTTACACGTGGCAGAGCCATGTTGCAACTATATTATGGTTGTAGCACGAATGGGTCGACGTGATCGAAGAAGGACCATGTTCTCACAGAATACCAGCGTAAAATAGCAGTTCAATGTTGTTGTGTTTCGTATGGTGAGTCTAGGAACCGGATAAATTTTCTACTTGAAACGAAGCATTTCATCTTGGTTCTCAGTTTCAATCTGC